ATTTTGGATGGTATTTCAAACATATAATAAAACGACCTTTGATTATTCTAAAACAAAGTGACCATTGATATATATTTGTTAAAATTAGAATTTAACTTAATAAGTTAATAGTTACATGTGTCACAACATGATTAGTAGTTTTTTTTAAAAAAAACACTTATTACACTAATTTACATGTGTTTTGTCATGAATTCCTAATCTTATACTCCTGCGTCCATGAAAGAATGACCCTTATGGCCTAAATCTAGTCCCAAAATGATCATCCCATTTGCAATAAAATACTCTCCAATTTACAACAATACTTGTACAAAGTTAGTTTCCCAATGTAAATTTTGCTTCTCCATGTACTTTTATCACCCTTTCTACTTTTTTGCGAACCCCATGTGGATTTCACTTTCTAATGTTTTGTTACTCTTATCTTTTTCACTTTATTAATACCCGCGAAAACAGCCGAAAAGGATCATTCTTTCAGGGGCGGAGAAATTACAATTTTAAGAGTGTATTTAATGCTTATATTAAAGATGGGCATCGTGCCGGGCCGGGTCGTCACGGGTCGTTCCTGGGCGTTCCTAGGTGGGGCTCGTGTCGGGTCGTGCCGTGCCGGGCTGCGTGCCAACCCTTATATATTTATATATATATTAAAAACATTGATATATAATTTTTTTTTGAACAACTTAAATTTATATAAATAATTTTGTTACTTTATGTTTATGTTAATGTTAATATATTTTTTTTAACAACCTTAATTTAATTAAGTTTATATAACTAATTTAGCAAATAATAATAATAATAATAATAATAATAAATACGTGCCTGCGGCGGGCCATGTCGGCGTGCCGACCCACGGGCCGACGACTGTGCCGATCATCGTGCCCGTGCCGTGCCGTGCCAATTTTTCAAAATATTGTTCATGGCACGACCCACAAGTGGTCCGCCGTGCCGTACCGTGTCGAAATCGTGTCGGGCTCGTGCCGCCCACGTGTCGGTACGACTCATGGCCATCTTTAGCTTATATGCAGTCTTAAAGGCTCATTACTCTTAAAAAAATTTGATTTTAATATTTTTTTTAGCAAAAATCCCATCCAAAAGTGCAGACACCACCACGGGCCCACCCTATGAATAGTTTCCTTCCCTTACAGCCCCTAACCTAGACACCCCCAGGTGCAGTGGTGATTGGCGCTACACTTGGTAGGGAGCGAGGACTCAAGTTCGATTTCCCATCCCAACAATCGGGAGGGGACTGGAACCTAACCACCGATAACTAATCCCCGAATCCGGATTAGCCCTAAGGGTGAACCGGGTGAAACACCAAAAATAAAATTACTTACCCCGTTACACGTTGTTGTATCGTTATGAACCGTACGTGAGCCTCCATTTTAGGAATTTGCACCAATTGCATTTGCAATTCACCAAATGACTTATGTTTATTATCTCTACTAATTAAGAGAAAACCCAAATCATTTGATGAATTGCAAAACATTTGGTGCATTTTCTTGTTCTCAATTTTTGTTGGAATATTTCCTTTTAACTATTGAGGACTATTTAAGACCTTAAAACTCATGGGTGTATTGGTGTTTAATAGATGATGAATTGTTGTATACTTGTAGAAGAAACCGATTATTACTGTGTATTTATTGTAGCCAAATGTTTGGCACTATAGTGTGAATGTAATCATAAAGGATTGCGCCTATTTAAATCAAATCATTTACATATGAAAATGTTAAATAATATCTCATGAGCTGGTGGAAATGTGGAATCAATCATCTATAAATTGAAAGATTTTTTTCACTTTGGGAAAATTGTTTTCCATGCTAATGAAACTATGGAATGTTTTCTAGATACCTAAATCTTTACGTAAAATCGAGAATATCTTTCTTGTTCATACTATTTACATGATCGTGACTTGTTTAGGAAGACAATATTTTCGGAAGAGCACTAAATAAGTTGGGTAACAACCAACTATAGGTTTTCTTCGTTGGAGATGCCGGTTTGCTTGTGTTGGGGAGACAACCAGAAAGTGTGGAGATTAAGGATCGATTTGCATTGGTATTATTGTTTTATTACTCCCTTCGTGGTGTAAAACTTATTAAAACACGGAGGGAGTATGTGTAACCTATCTATACTATATATTAAAAGGCGTTCATAAAATTGTGTATGTGTCACGTGTTTCCTTTCTTGCATCTGTATAGCGCCACATCATCTTTCAACAACCTTTAGCATCTTGCCACATCATCATCTAATGATCTTAATTAAAAATGCATACAAAGAGATTTGAACCCCAAACCTCTTTGAATGGAAACCAAATGCATCACCATCTTAGCTAGAATTTATTCATGCATAATTAATCCAAATTTATATATGAATACATACATGTATTAGAATGTAGAATAAAAACCAAAAAAAATCAAAAATAAATTATTAATGTCATTGTATTCTAATTTACCCAAGTTAAATAAATCAATAAGTCTTTTTAAGCTTATAATATAAAAATGAAATTATTCAAAGTATCACCTGAAGCAAAACCCGGGTCACACACTAGTTTAGAAAAACATCAATAAGCAATCGTGGTGAAAATTGTTTTCCATACTAATCAAACAATGGAATATTTTCCATCAAAACAGCAGATATCTAAATCTTTACGTAAGATCGAGAATATCTTTCTTGTTCATACTATTTTACATTCATGTATAGCAAGTAGCAACAATAAATTAACATGATCATAACTTATTAAGGAAGACAATATTTTTAGAAGAGCACTAAATAATTTGGGTAACAACCAACTGTAGGTTTGCTTCGTTGAGGATGCCGGTTTGCTTGTGGTTGGGATACGACCAGAAAGTGTGGAGATTTAGGATCAATTTGCATTGGTATTATTGTTTTATTACTCCCTTAGTGTTATAACACTTATTGAAACACGAAGGGAGTATTTGTAATTTAGCATTAAAAACATCAATAAGCAATCGTGGTGAAATTTTCATTTTTTCATTTCTTTTCTGCTTAAGATGTATTTCACTACGACATTTAATTGTTATCTGATCTTTTCAATAAAAAAATATTTTATCTGATTTAATTTGTAAGCTGACATGATGTAACAGGTTCCAACTTGATAGGGCCTATAAAATGTCATATCTTGTTCTGACTTAAGAGTTAAGACTAGTGTTTAATTATTGTGTAGTGCAAATTAGATTGTGCATTCAGTGCATGCATCATAATATGCGTTGTGCACTCATTTTTCACAATACTCTTGTGCTCATTTGCGTAGAAATTAACATGTCTTGTAAAATCTTCGATCTAGATATATGTTAAAACGATTATGTAAGATAAATCACAACTATATATGTATGTATAGGTCTAATTAGAAATCAGCATATATAGTATAAAAACATACTCCGTAACTCAAACACAGATAACTTTCATTCTTTCATATTCCAATTACAACAATCGAAACTGTGATAATCGTCAAATACATGTTATAGTCTATAGCTAGATGGTGAGTGCAATATATCATACTATTATCAATAGTCATATTGAAATCCCATAATGGCAGATTTATTCATAATAAAACGAAACGATAAATGTTACTAGGTAAACTTTCTGATCAAGTTAGGACAATAACTTGGTAGATGAGAGACTATTACTTGGTAGATCAGATCAATAGACGGCGGGACACGAGTATTGGGTAGGATTGTTATATCCACAGGCATTAACGACGGCGACAAGCTCCTTGTTAATGAGGTCGCTGCCACCAAGGAGACCACCAAGAAGGGAGTTAAGGAGGCCACCAAGGGTGCTTCCGAGAGGAGTGTATTTGAGGCTAGTGCAAAGGCATAGAGCAAGATCAGCATCGGCTATACCGTGAATCAGTTGACAACATTCAGTCCTTGTTTGGCTACCAAATTGGACACTCACTAATCCATTGGCAACCTCAAGACACACATTCAGGTCAGGGCAAGTTGCAGCATTAGCTGACACAAATGCAAACAAGGCTAGGTTAAGCATCATGAAAACGACACCGGATTTGGAGGCCATTTTTCTTTGATTTGGCTAGCTTTGTTTAGGGTTTTGATTCAAGGGAGAATGTATGTGAATGTGTTTGTTGGTTTTGGATGTGATTCAAGAGCTGCATGTCATGGCTATTTATAGACTGCATGGAAGGCTATTTTGGTAATTTGGTAATTAGCTTAATTACTTTGTTAATGGCCACTAATATTATCAAATACATTAAAAGTTTAAGTTAATTGCTTTTCAATTAAGTTATTACATTTTTTATTATGCCACTATTATTATCAAATACATTCCTCTTTATATTATTACAAATTGTACGTACTTTTCAAGTAATTTTTAGTGATCAAATTATCTTGTAAGTTGAGCATCCTTTCAATTGGTTGATCAAGGGAAAAAAAAAACTACTTGTACAATTTGAACCAGTAACCTAGTATTCTTGTCACGATGGCTCTTGATTTCATGTGGAAGAAACATCTCAATCATCAATTTAACCTTTTTGCTTTAGTTGGTGTACTATTTAATTGATGATTGAGATGTTTCTTCCACATGAAATCAAGAGCCATCGTGACAAGAATACTAGGTTACTGGTTTACTTATTTCTGAAAATTGTACAAGTAGTTTTTTTTTTCCCTTGATCAACCAATTGAAAGGATGCTCAACTTACAAGATAATTTGATCACTAAAAATTACTTGAAAAGTACGTACAATTTGTAATAATATAAAGAGGAATGTATTTGATAATAATAGTGGCATAATAAAAAATGTAATAACTTAATTGAAAAGCAATTAACTTAAACTTTTAATGTATTTGATAATATTAGTGGCCATTAACAAAGTAATTAAGCTAATTACCAAATTACCAAAATAGCCTTCCATGCAGTCTATAAATAGCCATGACATGCAGCTCTTGAATCACATCCAAAACCAACAAACACATTCACATACATTCTCCCTTGAATCAAAACCCTAAACAAAGCTAGCCAAATCAAAGAAAAATGGCCTCCAAATCCGGTGTCGTTTTCATGATGCTTAACCTAGCCTTGTTTGCATTTGTGTCAGCTAATGCTGCAACTTGCCCTGACCTGAATGTGTGTCTTGAGGTTGCCAATGGATTAGTGAGTGTCCAATTTGGTAGCCAAACAAGGACTGAATGTTGTCAACTGATTCACGGTATAGCCGATGCTGATCTTGCTCTATGCCTTTGCACTAGCCTCAAATACACTCCTCTCGGAAGCACCCTTGGTGGCCTCCTTAACTCCCTTCTTGGTGGTCTCCTTGGTGGCAGCGACCTCATTAACAAGGAGCTTGTCGCCGTCGTTAATGCCTGTGGATATAACAATCCTACCCAATACTCGTGTCCCGCCGTCTATTGATCTGATCTACCAAGTAATAGTCTCTCATCTACCAAGTTATTGTCCTAACTTGATCAGAAAGTTTACCTAGTAACATTTATCGTTTCGTTTTATTATGAATAAATCTGCCATTATGGGATTTCAATATGACTATTGATAATAGTATGATATATTGCACTCACCATCTAGCTATAGACTATAACATGTATTTGACGATTATCACAGTTTCGATTGTTGTAATTGGAATATGAAAGAATGAAAGTTATCTGTGTTTGAGTTACGGAGTATGTTTTTATACTATATATGCTGATTTCTAATTAGACCTATACATACATATATAGTTGTGATTTATCTTACATAATCGTTTTAACATATATCTAGATCGAAGATTTTACAAGACATGTTAATTTCTACGCAAATGAGCACAAGAGTATTGTGAAAAATGAGTGCACAACGCATATTATGATGCATGCACTGAATGCACAATCTAATTTGCACTACACAATAATTAAACACTAGTCTTAACTCTTAAGTCAGAACAAGATATGACATTTTATAGGCCCTATCAAGTTGGAACCTGTTACATCATGTCAGCTTACAAATTAAATCAGATAAAATATTTTTTTATTGAAAAGATCAGATAACAATTAAATGTCGTAGTGAAATACATCTTAAGCAGAAAAGAAATGAAAAAATGAAAATTTCACCACGATTGCTTATTGATGTTTTTAATGCTAAATTACAAATACTCCCTTCGTGTTTCAATAAGTGTTATAACACTAAGGGAGTAATAAAACAATAATACCAATGCAAATTGATCCTAAATCTCCACACTTTCTGGTCGTATCCCAACCACAAGCAAACCGGCATCCTCAACGAAGCAAACCTACAGTTGGTTGTTACCCAAATTATTTAGTGCTCTTCTAAAAATATTGTCTTCCTTAATAAGTTATGATCATGTTAATTTATTGTTGCTACTTGCTATACATGAATGTAAAATAGTATGAACAAGAAAGATATTCTCGATCTTACGTAAAGATTTAGATATCTGCTGTTTTGATGGAAAATATTCCATTGTTTGATTAGTATGGAAAACAATTTTCACCACGATTGCTTATTGATGTTTTTCTAAACTAGTGTGTGACCCGGGTTTTGCTTCAGGTGATACTTTGAATAATTTCATTTTTATATTATAAGCTTAAAAGACTTATTGATTTATTTAACTTGGGTAAATTAGAATACAATGACATTAATAATTTATTTTTGATTTTTTTTGGTTTTTATTCTACATTCTAATACATGTATGTATTCATATATAAATTTGGATTAATTATGCATGAATAAATTCTAGCTAAGATGGTGATGCATTTGGTTTCCATTCAAAGAGGTTTGGGGTTCAAATCTCTTTGTATGCATTTTTAATTAAGATCATTAGATGATGATGTGGCAAGATGCTAAAGGTTGTTGAAAGATGATGTGGCGCTATACAGATGCAAGAAAGGAAACACGTGACACATACACAATTTTATGAACGCCTTTTAATATATAGTATAGATAGGTTACACATACTCCCTCCGTGTTTTAATAAGTTTTACACCACGAAGGGAGTAATAAAACAATAATACCAATGCAAATCGATCCTTAATCTCCACACTTTCTGGTTGTCTCCCCAACACAAGCAAACCGGCATCTCCAACGAAGAAAACCTATAGTTGGTTGTTACCCAACTTATTTAGTGCTCTTCCGAAAATATTGTCTTCCTAAACAAGTCATGATCATGTAAATAGTATGAACAAGAAAGATATTCTCGATTTTACGTAAAGATTTAGGTATCTAGAAAACATTCCATAGTTTCATTAGCATGGAAAACAATTTTCCCAAAGTGAAAAAAATCTTTCAATTTATAGATGATTGATTCCACATTTCCACCAGCTCATGAGATATTATTTAACATTTTCATATGTAAATGATTTGATTTAAATAGGCGCAATCCTTTATGATTACATTCACACTATAGTGCCAAACATTTGGCTACAATAAATACACAGTAATATCGGTTTCTTCTACAAGTATACAACAATTCATCATCTATTAAACACCAATACACCCATGAGTTTTAAGGTCTTAAATAGTCCTCAATAGTTAAAAGGAAATATTCCAACAAAAATTGAGAACAAGAAAATGCACCAAATGTTTTGCAATTCATCAAATGATTTGGGTTTTCTCTTAATTAGTAGAGATAATAAACATAAGTCATTTGGTGAATTGCAAATGCAATTGGTGCAAATTCCTAAAATGGAGGCTCACGTACGGTTCATAACGATACAACAACGTGTAACGGGGTAAGTAATTTTATTTTTGGTGTTTCACCCGGTTCACCCTTAGGGCTAATCCGGATTCGGGGATTAGTTATCGGTGGTTAGGTTCCAGTCCCCTCCCGATTGTTGGGATGGGAAATCGAACTTGAGTCCTCGCTCCCTACCAAGTGTAGCGCCAATCACCACTGCACCTGGGGGTGTCTAGGTTAGGGGCTGTAAGGGAAGGAAACTATTCATAGGGTGGGCCCGTGGTGGTGTCTGCACTTTTGGATGGGATTTTTGCTAAAAAAAATATTAAAATCAAATTTTTTTAAGAGTAATGAGCCTTTAAGACTGCATATAAGCTAAAGATGGCCATGAGTCGTACCGACACGTGGGCGGCACGAGCCCGACACGATTTCGACACGGTACGGCACGGCGGACCACTTGTGGGTCGTGCCATGAACAATATTTTGAAAAATTGGCACGGCACGGCACGGGCACGATGATCGGCACAGTCGTCGGCCCGTGGGTCGGCACGCCGACATGGCCCGCCGCAGGCACGTATTTATTATTATTATTATTATTATTATTATTTGCTAAATTAGTTATATAAACTTAATTAAATTAAGGTTGTTAAAAAAAATATATTAACATTAACATAAACATAAAGTAACAAAATTATTTATATAAATTTAAGTTGTTCAAAAAAAAATTATATATCAATGTTTTTAATATATATATAAATATATAAGGGTTGGCACGCAGCCCGGCACGGCACGACCCGACACGAGCCCCACCTAGGAACGCCCAGGAACGACCCGTGACGACCCGGCCCGGCACGATGCCCATCTTTAATATAAGCATTAAATACACTCTTAAAATTGTAATTTCTCCGCCCCTGAAAGAATGATCCTTTTCGGCTGTTTTCGCGGGTATTAATAAAGTGAAAAAGATAAGAGTAACAAAACATTAGAAAGTGAAATCCACATGGGGTTCGCAAAAAAGTAGAAAGGGTGATAAAAGTACATGGAGAAGCAAAATTTACATTGGGAAACTAACTTTGTACAAGTATTGTTGTAAATTGGAGAGTATTTTATTGCAAATGGGATGATCATTTTGGGACTAGATTTAGGCCATAAGGGTCATTCTTTCATGGACGCAGGAGTATAAGATTAGGAATTCATGACAAAACACATGTAAATTAGTGTAATAAGTGTTTTTTTTAAACAAAACTACTAATCATGTTGTGACACATGTAACTATTAACTTATTAAGTTAAATTCTAATTTTAACAAATATATATCAATGGTCACTTTGTTTTAGAATAATCAAAGGTTGTTTTATTATATGTTTGAAATACCATCCAAAATCGTTTTATCTTTGACAATTTTTCCTAAATTTTATTGTATTGAAGTAAACCGGATCTTGGCGTAGTATAATATACATATAGATTAGTACATATGGACTTGCAGAAAATCTAGAAAAACCTATTGATCACTTATGATTCATTTGTAGAAAATTCTTGTAGACTGTATAGATTATATTATTTTAATAATTGAATTGGGTGTCTCAATTTGTTGTGGTTACATTCACACCATTATGAACTCTCCACCTCCATCATCAGTATTTCGATTATTCCTGGAAAAAATCTTCCTTCCTCTATTCACTTACCGGAGAAGGAAAACTCAACCTCCACCATCTCAATCTCTGCCAATGGTCAGCAATCTTTCGTCACCACCACCATCCCCACTTGTAACTCTAGGGTTAACAAATTATGGTGCAATCGCGACTACACTGATGAAATCAGCCACGCGTCAGAACTTGGGTCCTTTTGCTCCGACCCTCAATCTACTGCCGGAGAAGCCATTGGTGTCCCTTGCATTGCTTCCTCCGGTAGTGTTGCAAAAGCATCTTCTTTCCAGGGAGGAATTTCCCAATGTCAAAACTTTGATAGACCCATTATTGATAAAGGAGGAGGGAAAATCACTTCCAAAGAGGGAAATTCTCGATTCATTTCCAATTCTAAAAAGAATGTTAGTAACTCCCTTGCAACTCGTAACTCGAGTCTTCGACATGGGAGTTCCAAATCGTCGTTTAGCGTTGTTCTTCTCCAAGGAGAAAGTGGTGGGGACTCAAATTTGGGTAACTTATCTTAACCCTTTAAAGAGTTATCAAGAAGCGCATGTGTTACTAACTACGATAAGATTGGAGGATTTTGGGCCGATGAATCTAATGGAACATTGGAGGGATTGGGAGAGCTTCTTTCTTCTCGACCACTCAATTTAGGCCCGAATGTTAGAGGTTCTTTCAGGGATGAGTTGTGGCGCATGCAAGGCATATTATGGATACGTACCATCCAAATGTGTTTATTTTCCTTGAAAATAAAGCTTTGGCTATGCGTACAAGGCAAGTTATGCTACAACTTGGTTTTTCGGATCACTAGGGGAGGTGTTTGGGTTTTCTGGAAAAGAAACGTCGATCTGCTTATTTTCACCTTTGAAAATCATACTATTCATGCTTTATTCCATTTTAGGAATGACAAGCCTAATGTTATTGTATTCAGCATGCATGCTCCTTCTATTCTAAATGCTAGGCATGCAATCTGGAGAAATATGAGAGAATTTGTCCCACCGGAGCAAATCCCCTGGCTTTTTCTAGGTGATTTTAATGAGGTTACCAATCAAGGGGAGAAGTTGGGGGCCGTGATTTTAAACAAGGTCA